TACCTGATGGGCTAATCTTGCATCTGCCCACAGTCCCTGGGTGTTACAAGGTGGCTTGGCCCATGGACCACTTAGGGTAAGTGTTGGGACCATAGAGCCCATAAGATGGGTTTCAGGGGGTGCACTGTCCATAACAGTGTATTCGGCCAGGCCTTGTAACAAAGGCTGGGCTGAACCCATGTGGCTGACGTGTAGATCAATGTTTGGGTCCCACGTCATACATGGAAGCCCAACTAGGCAGCAGTTTGGAAGGCTAAGTGAGCACATTATCTTAAATGGGCCTTAAGCCCATTTCGAACTGGGCTGATTTGATCAGTCAATTAAATGGGGCGAGTTCTGAGATGGATCAGCTGATAGGATTGGGCCTAGACCCTATCCACTTAGAGAGTCCAAGATCTAAATAAGATTTAGATCTGGAAGCCTCCTAATTAGATTAGGAGATGGCTGATCTGATCTGCAGATAAGATAAGGGTTCTCCCTTATCTCTTAAAGGGACTTCTAATCCAAATATAATTTGGATCAGCAGCTCCTAGTAGGATTAGGAGCTGATCCCTTTAAATCTATAAAAGGAGGAGGGGGCGGCAGCCTTTAGAGATTGATGTTCAATTCTCTTCAGAGCTGGAATCATAGAAGAGAGATTTCTGCAACCTCCGCAAAATCTCTTTTGCCGCCTCCTTCCTGCTGCCGCCATTACCTTCAGTTCGATCTCCAGTTCTTGGGAGAAATCAAGATCTGATCTTGATACCAATCTTTTGGAAAAAGATTGATTGGAGCTGTAGTCACAAACCATCCAGTTGATTCTTGCGAAGRGTCAAGTTCTTTTGAAGAACATTGCTTATTCTGCTCCTGCACTGCGCCATCTTCAGTGGGAGCAATCTTTGGATCCTTCCTTGGGCATGAAAACCTCTATTGGAAGATACTAAATTCTTCGTATCAGGTACATCCTCCCTCCTACTCCTTCTGGTTCAGATCTGGTTTGGTTCATGGTTCAAGATTGATCCTTGAAAAATATGTTTTTCTAAAATAGGGAATTCCATTCCTTGCAAAGATGGGAGAAATTTTTTTTGAAATTCGCCCAGTCCATTCCACAAGACTTGGGCGTCCATGTGATGTATATCCCATCCCTTCAGCAAGAAACTAGCAGAACCGATTTAGCAATGAAATCATTAAGTAGCCCAACCGAAGTGAATTCAGTCTTGGGTTGGCGAAACCCTAATTTTCTGAGCAGCCTCTCTCAAGCACAACCCACTCTATCTATGAGCAATAATTCCTATATCTCTCTCAGAAATTTAATCACCATAGATGCATTAAGAACAAGAATTCAAAGGTCATCAATTCAGGTATGAATAAATGCCAAACGAACCATGCAAATTATCTCTAAGATGCGTTCAATCCGTTTTCTTGATTAGATGATCCGATTACCTAAACTCTTTTTCATGCAATTCAAGCAATCCAAGAAACAAGAATAATTCGGCCAAGATTATTCTATTAATCAAAAACCCTAATCATGAAATCCCAAGAATAAATTACAATCAATCGGATATGCTAAAATATTAATTACATATCAGATTTGATGTCCACCATGGTTTGCATAAAAGAAAGAAAGAAATAAAGATTCAATAAAGAAAAATCATGAAACCCTGATCGAATCTAGGTTACCAAATTGCAGAATCAAAGAAGAAGAGAACCTAAGATTTCTGCATCAATCTTCGACCTCCTCTTCAATTCGCATTCAACAACCTTCTCTCTTCTCTACTAGTTCTTCTTCTTCTTTGCTTTTGTCTTCAGGGGTCCAAACCCTAATTCTCTCTTTTTCTTTTTCTTTTTCTTTTATACTCTTCCTTTCATCCTCCTTTTCCTTCTCTAAAGTCAGTCGCCTTTTTGGAGCCTCCCTTAGGGCTGCGGTTGGGCTGCTGTTCTTGGTGGGTCGAACTGCTGTTGGGTTGTTCTCCTTGATGGGTTGAACTGCTGTTCTCCCATTAGGTTTTGGGTGGGCTGTAGTTGGGCCTCTCTCCTTGGTGGCTTCAGTGCTTCCCATGGGGTTTTGGCTGGGCTTCTCTTCTTGATGGACCGAAGTATGGTCTCTTCACCCTAGATTGTCCCAAACTCTTAGTTTTCCTGGAATTCTGCTCAATTAGTGTAAAAACCATTGCAAAACAGAATTAAAACCATGTATACAACAATAAAAATGATGTGTAGCATGCACATACATCAAAATCCCCCACACTTAAGATTTTGCTTGTCCTTAAGCAAAGATATTACCTATAAACTGATCATTCCCTAGATTATTGCCATCTACCGAATGAATTTTTGGATGAGAATGCATTAAGTGGTCAAGAAACCTGCATAAACATTTTGATTCATCCCCATGATTGGCCACTCTTACCACATTCATGAAGACGAAGGAAGGGAGAACATGAGCTTCTTTATGCTCCAGCACTCAATTCCGTTCAATATGTATAGCATTTCCTTGACCGCCATAATTAACCATCATCTCGAGCTTGGTCTCAAATCTGTCAATGCACCTAATTGAATTTCCAACTATATTTTTGTCCCTTTGAACCTCAGCCGTCACTGAATTCTTTTCTTTCTCTTTTTTTTTTTTGGTGTGAGTGCATTTTATTTTCCATCTCATATGGGTCACAGGCTAGAGGCAGATAACAATACTCATATTCCCAGTTGCTAGATTTACTATTCAACTTGGAATAGCGGAGTTGGGACTGAATTCATATCATGAACCGCTAGTTTTACTATTCAGTTCATGACAGCGGAGTAATTCAGACTTTGTCCTTTCTTCTTCTCTTTTCTTTTTTTTTTCTTTTGCAATTGTTGAAATTCATGCATTAGCAGTTCAAATGTGCACTAATATCTTGAATGATCATTAAGATTTCAACCAAGCACACTATACACATGAGTAGAGTTAGTGCTGGTCATGATGAAAGTCCTATTCGACTTCCTCATTCTCATGTATTGTGATAAAATTGGACACTTCACAGGAACACATTCTAGCACTTACAATTATTTCCTTCGACTTCATCGTATTCCCTCTTGGAATTCATCTTATAAACAACAATAATCTTGAGGGAATTTCCAGTTTATGCAGTCTATCAATGCATTTATGTATTGGGGTGATTGAGGTGCATAGCTATACCCTCCCCCAGACTTATCATGAACATTGCCCTCAATGTTCATATAGAAAAAATGCAAGGATGAATTCAGCAATATGAGCAGTGGGACTTCAAGCATTTCAAGGGGTATAGAAAACTTCCCTGAAGAGCATTCTGAAATCTGGAATGGCTCCTTCGTTTGAATCCTCTAGCTACTAAGATCAAAAGAAACTAGGAGGAGAGAATGATAAACACTAAGACAGATCAATAATCTACAAAATTAACATCCTAGAAAAGAAACTCGAATGATACGAAAAAGAAAAGTAGAAACACAAATAAATAAAAAAAACTACTCATCAGCATTGGGTTGCCTCTCAATAAGTGCTTGTTTTCCGTCTTAAGCTCGATGTTACAGTGCCATCAATGAACATTTAGGTACACAGTTGACGGGGTAGGCAATGCTCCATCTGCTATATATTGTTTGAGGTGTGACCGTTGACCTGAAAATATCCACCAACCGCATCATCAATGACATCTATCATATAACATGCATCATCAGTAGAAGATGCATGTTTCATAGCATTAGACATTTTAAAAGTTACTTTCTCATCTTGAATCCTAAGGCTAAGTTGCCCTTTTTGGACATCAACCGTTGCCTTTCCTGTAGTTAGGAACGGTCACCCTAGGATAAGTGGGACATCAATGTCCTTTTCCATGTCTAACACTATGAAATCCATAGGAAAAATGAATTTGTCAACTTTAACAAGTACATCTTCTATGATTCCCCTAGGATGCTTGATAAACCTATCTGCTAACTGCAATGCAACTCTGGTGGGTTGAGGTTCACCCAACCCTAATTTCTTAAAAGCCAAATATGGCATCAAGTTTATACTAGCTGCTAAATCACACAATGCCTTATTAATTTTCAGACTAACTATAGTGCAAGGAATAGTGAAACTCTCTGGATCTTTTAGTTTTTGAGGTAGCTTGTTGAGGAGGATTGCTGAGCATTCTTCATTTAGTAAAACTATAGCCACGTCTCCCAATTTCCTTTTGTTTGCCAATATCTCCTTCAGGAACTTTGCATAGTGTGGCATCTGGGCTAAAGCATCTGCAAAAGGAATGTTAATATGTAAACTCTTAAATATTTCAAGAAACTTACCGAATTCCTTTTCCAATTTGTGTTGCTTTAGCCTATTTGGGAATGGTACTTGCGGCTGTTGACTTTTATCTTTCTTTGAATCAGATTGCTCTTCCTCCTTCTTTTCGGTTTCTAGGGTTGTACCCATCTTGCCTTCTTCCTTTGCCTTCTTCTCCACCTCTTGCAACTCCTTACCACGACTCAAGGTAATGGCTTGCACCTGTTCTCTTGGATTTGCCTCAGTATTGCTGGGTAAAGTGCCTTGGACTCTAGAAGATATCATTTGTGCCAACTGCCCCACTTGAGTTTCCAAGTTCTTGATCGATGCTTCTTGATTCTGAAATCTCGTTTCTGCACTTGCTATGAACTTGGTCATCAGCTCCTCTAGATTGGATTTCTTCTCTGGCTGATTGAAATTTTGGGGAAAGGGTTTCACCGCATTTTGATTTTGCCAAGATAGATTGGGGTGATTCCTCCATCCAAGATTAAATGCACGAGGGTATTGATTGCCTTGCTGCCTTCAAAAATTACCAGCAAAATCTACTTGCTTAGGGAACTGCATGAACAGATTTCCAACTTGACATTCGGTGCTGACATCACCTCCCCCACACCATTCATAGGCTACGGTCTGAACATGCATGGCTGCCAACTGCATTTCATCTATCTTCTTGCTGAGGGCACCGATTTGTGCAGATAGTGCTGTATAGGTGTCTACAATGTGAAGACTGGGCTTTTTCCTAACTTTGGCTCTCTCGGAATGCCATTGGTAATTGTTTGCAGCCATCTCCTCAATCAGTGCATGGGCAACTTCAGGGGTCTTGTTGTTAATGGATCCCCCAGCTGCAACGTCCATAATAGTCTTATTGGCTTCGGTCAACCCATTATAAAATATCTGAACTTGCAGCCATATGAGAAGTCCATGATGAGGGACTTTCCTCAGCAATTCCTTGTAACGCTCCCATGACTCATACAATGACTCTCCGTCCTGCTGAGAGAAGGTGGTGATATCATTCCGCATCTTTGCAGTCTTGGACGGAGGGAAATACTTGGATAGGATGTGGCTGGCCATTTCATCCCATGTAGAAATTGATCCAGCTAGTAGAGAGTTCAGCCACGTCTTAGCTTGTCCTTCAATGAGAATGGAAACAATCTGAGCCTCACCGCATCATCACTAACTTCGTTGTGCTTGAATGTGTCACATATTTCCAAGAAGTTGGCGACGTGAGTGTTTGGATCTTCATGACCCAATTCGCATAACTGAATTGTATTCTGAATCATCTGAATGATTGCTGGTTTGCTTTCAAAGTTGTTGGCAGCAATTGCTGGTCTCACAATGCTCGAGGCTGCCCCAGTGAGGGTTGGTTTGGCATAATCCATCATGGTCCTTTGTTCGGCCATCTCTACACTTTCAGCTCTCCCTTGCTTAGAACCTCTAAGGCAGCGACAGAGAGTTCGTTCAATCTCGGGATCATAGGTGATGCTCCCCTTTTCACTTCTGCATGTCATAAACTGTACAAGTCAAAGTCATATAGAGACTAATACACAAATATCATAAACATAATGTACAAAATTAAAATTAGATTAACATCAGTTGATGGTTCCTAATATTGTTGTGATAATCCTCAGCAATGGCGTCAAAAACATGATGTGCTTAGAAGACACTAGCAAGTGCACTAGCCGATTAAATAATATAATGATGAGTAAAGTATCGTTCCCACGAGGACTGATCCAACAACTACTAGTACTGAATCAGCCTTTTGCTATCTGAAAAACTGAAATATTAAACAAAAAAAACCCTAACTTCTAAATAGCAAACTACCCTAAGCAGTTTCGGTTCAGACCACATTTAATGATGAGAATAATTACAACATGCAAGAAACTAGCAGAACTAGTTTAGCAATGAAATCGTTAAGCAGCCCAACCGAAGTGAATTCAGTCTTGGGTTGGCGAAACCCTAATTTTATGAGCAGCCTCTCTCGAGCACAACCCACTCTATCTATGAGCAATAATTCCTATATCTCTCTCAGAAATTTAATCACCATAGATGCATTAAGAACAAGAATTCGAAGGTCATCAATTCAGGTATGAATAAATGCCAAATGAACCATGCAAATTATCTCTAAGATGCATTCGAATCATTTTCTTGATTAGATAATTTGATTACCTAAATTGTTTCTCAAGCAATTCAAGCAATCCAAGAAACAAGAATAATTCGGCCAAGATTATTCTATTAATCGAAAACCCTAATCAAGAAATCCCAAGAATAAATTACAATCAATTGGATCTGCTAAAATTTATATTACATATCAGATTTGAAGTCCACCATGGTTCACATAAAAGAAAGAAAGAAAGAAAGATTCAATAAAGAAAAATCATTAAACCCTGATTGAATCTAGGTTACCAAATTGCAGAATCAAAGAAGAAGACGACCTAAGATTTCTGCATCAATTTTCGATCTCCTCTTCAATTCGCATTCAGCAGCCTTCTCTCTTCTCTAGTAGTTCTTCTTCTTTGGTTGTCTTCAGGGGTCCGAACCCTAATTCCCTCTTTTTCTTTTTCTTTTATACTCTTCCTTTCAGCCTCCTTTTCCTTCTCTAAAGTCAGCTTTCATTTTGGAGCCTCCCATAGGGCTGCGGTTGGGCTGCTGTTCTTGGTGGGTCGAACTGCTGTTGGGTTGTTCTCCTTGAAGGGCCGAACTGCTGTTCTCCCATAAGGTTTCAGTTGGGCTACAGTTGGGCCTCTCTCCTTGGTGGCTTCAGTGCTTCCCATGGGGTTTCTGTTGGGCTTCTCTTCTTGATGGGCCGAAGTATGCTCTCTTTACCCTAGATTGTCCCAAACTCTTAGTTTTCCTGAAATTCTGCTCAATTAGGGTAAAAACCATTGCAAAACATCATTAAAACCATGTATACAACAATAAAAATGATGTGTAGCATGCGCACACATAAGTTATGTTAGTTTCTAAGGAACGATGGAGAACATAGAGACCATTCTCAAGTTCTCCGTATGCGAGGAATTTGTTATTTCTTTTTGATAGTAATCATATTAGTAAAGAGAACAGAATATCCATCCACATAGTTTTGAAACCAAAATCAAATTTATTCTCAAATTAGGTACATAAAGACAATATTTCAGTACAATAATTCCTTCTCTGAAATTAACTCTACATTTCCTATCGTTGTAGCTGCAACACTTGTATAAGTCCCCAAATAAAAAGTCACCTCTCCATCACTCAGTCTTCTACTTTTCTTGAACCCTTGCAATGAGTTACACGCATGAATTGAAGCCCCGGAGTCAATACACCAGGAAGCAGAAGTTACCAACAAATTGGTTTCTATGACAAAGGATTCGAAATTACCTTGTTTCTTGGACTCCAGGTACTAAGGACAGTTCCTCTTCCAGTGGCTGGCCTGCTTGCAGAAGTGACAAGCATCTGATGCTTTGTCCTTCCTCTACCTTTTGGACTTGGTAGCTTTCTTCTGAGGTTTTTTCTTTACCTACCTCTTCTTCTTGCCCGATTTACCAGCTTCAACAAGCATGGCAATGGGCTCATCCTTCTTGATCAGTTCCTCGGCCCTCAGCAACATAATGCTGAGTTCCTGGATGCAAATATTTAGCTTATCCATGTTATAGTTCATGATGAACTGATTGAAGGAAGGAGGCAAACAATTTAGGATGGTGTCAACCTTGGTGACATGATCAAGCCCGGATCCAAGAGCCTCAAGTTCATTAATGTAACCCATCATCTTAAGACAATGGTCATTAACTTGCTGGTTTTTGGACATCTACGCGATCATGAACTATTTCAAGACCTTCTAACGAGTAGAACGATTCTGCTCCTCATACATCAACCTCAGACTATCCAAGATATCCTTGGACAAATCGATCTGATCGAACTGTCACTGTATCAGATTATCTAAGGAGGCTATGATGTAGCAGCGAGCAAGGGAGTTTTTCTCTTTCCATTCTTGATAGTCCCTCCTACGGGCCTCAGAAGCCCTATCACCTGGATGATTGGCAGTAGGGTTTTTAGCAACTTTGTCCAATTTTTTGGATGTCAGAACCAGCATAAGGTTACGATACTAGTCAGTGTAGTTTGGGCCCTTAAGTTTGTTGTCGTCCAACAATTTAGCGAATTGTCCATTTACCATTTCTGATAAAAAGCAAATATTAGTCCACAATCTTATTTGATTCATCTTATCTACATAGATATGGCTTTTAATCTATGTTCCATTTCCATTTATTCAACTCCGAGATTTCCCTCCTATCTCAGTGACAGAGAATGCGAATTATGTCTCTAGAAATGTGGGAAATCACAAAGGGTGTAATGAGAAAAAAAAATTACCATATTTTTATCCCTTAATATTCAGTCTTTTTCACTTATTTAGTACCTAATTGGACTCACTATTCTTGTATTTTGATTTAGGGCACAAAAGAAGGCGTTAGGTAAAAAACAAGGCTAATCAGGTAATTTTGCAGAGTTTTGGCTCCATGCAGTAATCTGGGCATAACACTCCCATTCGGACTCTGATTGAGATGATTAAAGATGCACTGGAAAGATAAGGAAAAACTATACAACTTTAATGTTTTGATTGTTGATAGATTTAGAATGCGTTGAGGTCAAAATCGATCCTGAAGTCTAAGCCAATTAGTAGAGAAAACCAGTTCACAGAGAAGCCCAATTCACAAAGAAGCCTTGTAGCGGCCCAATTCGTTGAGAAAGCCCAATACGAGTTTAGCATGCATGAATAAGAATCATCAAAGAGTCCTGTCAGATTCAATTTTCTAGAAAGATAAAAGAGATCATGATTACCAGTTAAGAGATAGGTGTAGATTAGATCTAATCTAAGCATTATCTATTAGATAACTAAACTCCGAATGAAGAAAGAACTCCTTAGAGGAGCAGGAGACAGCTCCCTCCTAAGTCTATATAAAGGGGGCGGACTAGCACCCAAGGGCACCATCAAATCCTCCAAGAGAGCTTCAACCTTCAAAGAGAGCAATCAGCAATCAAGGAGGAAGAAGCAAAGTTCGCCCCCTCTTATCTGGAAGCTGTGATTTCATCATGAAGTGTCTGTAAGGTTTTATTTTCTAGTTGAAGGGTTAGGGAAGCTTTGATTCTATAACATTGTGAGATCTAATGATTTTTATTTTAGTTCATTGTTTATGGGTATTCATATGTTTTCTATGATTTCTTGTTAAGATTATTTTTATTGATTAAGCAAGAAGGGCCCCTTGCTCATTCAATGAGAATAATCTATGGCCGATTGAACCTCCAATTTCTTATATGATTGGTAGGTTTAATTAGGGTGGCAACTAACATAAATTGATTGCAAAAAAGTTTTCGATCTATGTTAGGAAGATATATGATCTGGTTTAAATGGTCCGAGCTTGTGAGATCGCTGACCAGAATTRGGTCTCTCCCCTGTTAATGCTATTAATAGATTAAATCCTAAGAGCTTGTTTAGGACTGTCTATTAATAAGAGAAGCAATCAAAGGGCTTGTTTTGGTTGTCGAATAATACGAGTAGAGGCTGACTGTTAGAGCTTGTTAATGGCTATAACCAATTTATCCATAAACATATGAATTTATCCTTGCATCGAGGATCAATGATAAGAATCAAAGTTGAACTTGTCCCTTCAACTAGAAGCTATTGTCCATCGATTTGATCTTTGCTTTATGTTAGTTTCTTTTATTTCATCTTATCTTCCTTATCTTCACAACCCCCTACTTTGTTTACTTGGAAATAAATCCACCCAATCCCTATGGAGATGACCTTGCTCATCACTATATACAAATTATTCACTTCAAGCAAGACTTTTTTTCTTTGGTTGGATTTGACGTGCACCAAATTTTGGCGCCGTTGCCCAGGATTGGTGTCCTAAGTTGATTTATTTCCTTTTGCTTGGTTTATGCCTCGTTCTTCTCGTGTAGGTGAACTCCAATACGATCCCGAGATCGAAAACATGGCTGCCAATGCAGAACAGTTCGGCAATAGACAAGAGTCCATACCGAGGAGAGTCAATGAGGTAAGTACTTCCTCCATTGATCAATGATTAGATACTCTTACA